TAATCCGTAAATTATGAAAAATATAATTTTTTATCTTTTCACTAATTAATTTATTAAATATATTCATATATATATTTTAAATCTCTGAAGTTATAAATTTGAGGAATAAAAATATATATATTTAGGTAAACTTAACAACTTAAAAATAAAAGGACAAAAAATATTTAATTTTCAAAGCTAATAAATGAAAAAATACAAAGAAAAAAGTTGAACAAAATTTATTCAAAATTAAAAGTTTAGGGGACCAAGTTTGACATTTAATCATTCTTTTGATGAAGAGTGAAGATAAAAGAGAGAGTTGGTCCAATGCTTCTTGGGACTACCTCAACCTAGGTCCAGGCCTAGGCCCTATAATAACCACATGTGAATGCGATCAGATGGCATCACAGAGCCTAGGATGAATGGCATATATGCAACCTAACCCAGAAGATGTATGTGCCAACAAACACGAACCTACAAAACGTGGTTTCTTCCTTTCTTCCGCATACAGTGGCATAGGAGCCGATACCGAGCCGATACCGAGACATCGATTTAGGTGAAATTTAAAATCTCATTATGATGAATTCGATTATCAAAATCACTATTTAAGTTTGTAAAATCTAAGATACAGAAATAAATTGAAAGAATTCATTCTCAAAAAACTCATTCAAAACAAAAGAGAATTGAAATTTCATTAGCTGATAAAAGTTATGCATATAACAAAGGGAACATAGTTATTTATAGGCAAAATCTAATATAAGGCAATAAATGAAAAATAAAAATGCAGCTAAGAATTAGTCATTTTTGTGGAATTTAGTAACCATTTTTAACAAAATTGCATTGACCTATTTGTAGTATGTAGAGTTGCTATAGTGTAACTTGAAATTTGCTAACTTGCAATCCTGGTGCTTTCCCTTAGTGCATATAGATATATATATATATATATATATATTTTAGTACCAACTCAAGATTCGAATCCCATATCTCAATTTATACGAGAAAGCCTTTATAGTGAAATGAAGTAAATGGTTACTAGATCACTAAGGACTTCTTCATATATATATATATATATATTTTTTTTTCTTTTTTAATCATGGGAAAATATGAGGAAAAGAAACTTTTTTTTTATGTGATCGGTAGAAATTAAATTCTCCATCAACTCAACTCAACTATTAAAGTTTGGAAACAAATTATTAATCTTGAAGACTTGGTATATATATATATATATATATTTTTTAAATGATTTATAATGAGATAAGGAAATTCGAACTCCACTTTTAAAATTGTAAAATACACATTATAATTAAATATAAAATCATTGAATCGCAATATTCAAGTACATATATTTATATATATATATATTGAACAAATTCACATAGGATCGGATTCGAACCGTTACCCTGGATAAAAAAAATACATTTATACGTGATCTGATTTTACTGAACTAAAAAACAAAGTGCATTTATATATATTTTTTAAATAATAGATGGGATAAGAATTGAATAATCAAATCACCTCCACCCATGTTCATATTTTTGGGGCCACATCCTTCCAGGAAATGGGCTGTACGTGTTATATTAATTTGAGTAGTACAATATGCATTATTTTATGAGCAATTCCTTTACAATAGAAATTCTTTGCTATCACCTTTCATCGTTAGTATTCTCGGCCAACCAAATGACGGGTGCTCGTCAATATCAATGTAACACTGTTTGGTTACCCTAATGGGTCCTTTTTCTTCTTTTTTTTTTTCTCAGATTTACGGATTGATTTACTTCCTATCATTCCGATCCAATCAAGTTGGAGGGATGGAACAAACAAGTTATCTTGCGCGGCAATTATTTGACTAAATTTGACATAAAACATTAACTTATAAGTAAAAACAAGTATCATGTAATTTAAATTATATAATTTAAATTATTAAATAAAAAAATAAAATTTTTAATATTAAGAATTATTTTTTTCATTAATAATTTTTATTTTAAAATTTTAATACAATTCATACAACAAAACCAGAGCTCAATATGTACAAATATGATGCATTGGATATCTCACCATCAACAATCTTATTTTATTCCATTTTCCAGCTGTTAGATTTGTAAATATATATATATTTTATGTTAATGCTCAGATTCTAACACAATTTATCCCAATTTAATATCTGGTTTAGAAATCAAATGGCACCATGTTGATTTCATTCAGTACCAAGGGTGTTTTCTCAAGTCCACAACTATATAAGTTTTGCTGCTTTTGCATGCTCCAATATATTCACTACTGCATCTCCATTTCTTAATTTACCAACCTTTCTTTACATTCATTTGTTTTTTTCTAATGTTAGTACTTGTTATTATGAGATATAAGTCCTTCGAAATATGAGTTTTCAAGAATATATAAACAGTGAATTCCAATTTAGTGAAGCTCAACAGGCATGATGGGCTAGCTTAACATCAGCATGTTCCAGAGTGATTGATGATTTGGTGCATGCGCTGGGGACGGCAAGATTGACGTTAACGCCACCTCATGACGTCCAATTATCTAACCCCACTTGCAGGCAGCAAGAGTCTCCTCTGCCGGGGGATGAAGTGATGCTCCGGGCTCTGACTGCCGTGTTTGGGATGGATCAAAACAACGGTACAATAAAGAAGGAGAAGGCGTGTCAGGTGGTGGAGAAGCTTGGGTTGGTGCTAGGTGAGGAGGAGAAGATCATGTTTGACTTGCCCGGCGGTGGGTTGGAAGATGAAATGCCGGTGAAGACGTGCTAGGGGGGATGGAAGATGGGTTGGAGCGCAACCAGTTGCTGCGTGAAGCGTTCAAGATTTTTGATGAGGACGGAAATGGGTTTATTGATGCCAAGGGGCTGAAGAGGGTGCTGCAATGCTTGGGGATGGACAATGGGTGGGACATGGGTGAGATTGAAAAGATGTTGAAGGTTGTGGACTTGCATCTTGATGGGAAAGTAGATTTTGCTGAGTTTGAAGTGATGATGAGATAAATTTAACGTATAAATTTCTCCTATCTAATTGTATATCTCCTTCTTTTTACATAAAAATCTCATTATATATATAAAAATGGTCTTTTATTCAAAAAATAAAAGTAAAAGAAGAATGTCTTTTACACTCAAACTGTTTTATGAAAATTAAAAAAATTAAATTAAAATTAAAATAATAAAATTTTATTTAAAAAAGTTATTAACACTCTTTTATATCTTTATTATAATATTTTTAATATAATTAATTTATATATTCAGGTGATGTATAAATTTTTATTATTAATTTATGTAACAAATTTAGTTATTTAAAATTATCAATATATCACATCTATCAGCTTTGAAGTATATATTAAAAGGCAAATGCATCATTTCTCTATCATTTTTTTTTTTTTCGGTTTAACCCTAATTGATTTCTTTTTATAAAACCAAAGTTGCAAAACAATTTATAGCTGCATGTTTTTAAGGGACTAATACTTTCAACACGAAAATTTTCAGGCTCCTTATTTTCATGAGCTCAAACTAAGTTTGAGGACTAAATTACGGAAAAGAACAAAATTCAGGGGTAAAGTTACTTCTTCTTTCAACGGTTAAGATTATGGGATCAACACCGTTGGATGGAGGACACACTCTCGTCTGCCATTGGTCTTCTCGTCTTCTTTACTCAACACACTGATGCACTCCCTTTGCTCCCGTCGTCACCGAAGAAAAGGTAAGCCCTCGTGCCGCCGGCGAAGCTCGGCCTTATTTCTGTGAGGAGCTAACCTCACCGAGAGAAATAGGAGGAGAATCGCAAAATTACAGTTACGATCCTTGAACACGGCTGGATTCAGCTGCTCAATCTAGTGCAGGATACCAGAAAGGTATTACGAAACCCTAGCTCAACACTTTCCAGTTTCATCTTTATCGAAATCTATTGCATCTTACAGTGAACTTTAGGCATGTTGCTTAATTGATTGAATTGATTTCATGGTATCCTTGTATTGTTCAGCTTCAAAATTTTGCGTATTGGTTGATTGAATCTATGATGAAAACATGCCCAATTTTGATTTCAGATTTTTTTTTTTTTTTTGCTATTAATATGTTTGAAAAGTTAAAAACTACTAAGGATGCAATTCTTCCAAGAATAGAAAAGAAAAAAAGATTCAGCGTCGATTTTCTGTGACTGTTAAAACCCTTATTTGTTTTATTTTCACTCCCATTTCGGCAAATGTTTTTAGTGATTTCAAAGGAGAGACATGGAATCAGAATTAGAGGATTGGTTGCCGCTGAGCCAAAGAGAAGAATGGTCGGATGTGACCCCACTGCCGCAGGATGATGGTCCCAACCCAGTTGTTCTTATAGCCTACAAGAGAGACTTTCAAGAAACCATGGATTACTTTCGTGCCATCTATCAAGCTGATGAACGTTCCCCTCGTGCCCTCAGCCTTAGCGGACGAGCCATTTGCTTGAACCCTGGCAATTACACGGTATGCTTGAAGTCTTGGAACATTACCTTTTATAGCTTATTCGGTGTTACATTTCTTTTTCTTTTTTTTTTTTTCTTGATGAAGGTGTGGCATTTTAGGCGGCTAATACTTGCAGCCCTTAATGAGGATTTGCACAAAGAACTGGATTTTGTCGAACAGATTGCTAGTGTCAACTCCAAGAACTATCAGTTGTGGTGAGTCGAGACTGCCTTTTGATATCTATTTGTAATTTTTAATTAATAAAAGAAGAATAATTCTTCCATTTGTTGTGGTATGATATTTTCCTTTGTTCAATTATTTGGTTAGGCAACCAGAGACTTCCCTAACTCTCAACACTTCAAGAACTGGTTCTGTTAATGATGAATGTGAAAGACAGTAGCCTTCACACTACAAACCTTGAAATAGTAAACTGAATCATCATATTAAGATTCTAGGTTCATTGTGATTTGAAAATTGTAGGGAAGTGATGGCTGGAATGCATGTATAAAAGTCCCTTTTTTTTTTTTCCCATGTGTTTGTATATTTTGATATTGATGCAATTTAAAATCTTTAGCTGACTTCTGAAATCTTTGTTTACTATGATCTTCTATTATATTTTTTCTCTTCTTAATACCATTCAATTGATCTCAATTTAAATTTCTTTTCAGGCATCATAGGCGGTGGATTGCTGAGAAATTGGGAACTGATGCTACAATTTATGAACTTCAGTTCACCAAGAAGATACTTTCCACTGATGCTAAACATTACCATGCCTGGTCACATAGGCAGGTCAGTTAAATACTTAATAAATACTTAAATGTCTGTTATAGGTATTAGTTATCTATCTTTCATATGCTCTTTCCATGCTTATTTTTTCTTTGCTTGAGTAATTTTGTTCAGCACCATATGGTTTGTTACTAACAAGCAGGGTGGTGGTTGTTGTTTTTTTTTTTTTTTTCAATGTAGTGGGTACTTCAGACATTAGGAGGCTGGAAAGATGAACTTGATTATTGCCATAGCCTTCTCGAAGAGGACATTTTTAATAATTCTGCATGGAATCAGGTACGGATGAGGAATGATTATTTGCTGCTGCTAATTTGATGTTTACCGTACCATGGCAGTAGTAAATCCTGGTTATTTTGATTAAGAATAAATTTTCTTCCCTTTTGCATTACCTTCTTACACTTGTCTGTCTTGTTGTCAGTGTGTGGGCTTATTTATTTTCCTTTTTTAATTTTTAACAGAGATACTTTGTCATAACTAGATCCCCTTTCCTGGGAGGCCTCAAAGCCATGAGAAAGTCTGAAGTGAGATATATCGTTGAAGCCATTTTAACTAATCCAGAGAATGAGAGCCCATGGAGATACCTCAGAGGGCTTTATGAAGGTGATACTGAGGGTTGGGTTAATGATCCTGAAATCTCCTCTGTTTGTTTGAAGGTTTTGAGCTCGAAAAGCAACTATATATTTGCTTTGAGCATGCTTTTAGATCTTCTTTGCAATGGTTTCCAGCCAAGCCAAGATTTCAAAGATGCTGTAGAAGCTCTTGGTACTTCAGACAACAGTCCACTGGATTCCAACTTAGCAAGAGCAGTTTGTACTGTCTTGGAAGAGGATGATTCTTTAAGAGCTAACTATTGGAGATGGCGCAAGAGCAAGCTTCCCCTCTGATGAGAGATGCAATAGAGTTTATATCATATGTTTGAACCATCTTTGGCTTTGCAAATTTACTTGGATCAGTTTAGCTCATGGAAGAAGATCAGAGACCAAAAATTGTTAGCACTTCCTGTTTGACTTCATGGTCATTTTATACTTCCAAAAAATCATGATGTAATTCTTGTTTTTCTTGCAAAGACGCCTATTATAACTCATGCTCAGTGAAGTTCAGAGATCAAAGTGAACTATTTTCAGAATGACTATCTGATTCTTCAGGAATAACCAGGCAGAAAAAGGAAAAACATAACACTGAATCTTCTAAGAAATCAATACCTACTGCTTTGTAGGTAGAAATAGAGGATTACAAGGACTTAATTCGCACCACATCTAATAATTGTACAGATAAATGAACCTTTTAATGCCAAATATCTGATTCACAGCTTGTAGCATCACTAACAATGCCATTACCAAGACTGCCATGGCTGATGTTGACTACACTGCAAGGTCCAAAGGTTGAATTTCCAGAAAGTGCCATCCATACATGCGAGGATTCATCTCCAGGAACAGTGATGGTTGGCGACACATCTGCCATTCTATAAAGATTATGACCATTAATTGGTTGAGGTGGAAACAAGTGACTTTGGGGAACTTGATTGAAACTGCAAGTTTTGGAGTCTTGAGCAAGCATACCTTCAGCTAAATTTACCTAAAAGCATGACAAAATTTGTTATTTTAAGTGTACCCTCGAATGCTTGTCTAGAGCTTTATTTAGATGTACAAAAACATTTCTAATGACGAAAGCTATAAGCATACAGTCATTGCATTAGAAACAGACGACAATTATGCATCCAAATTGATGCTAAAAATTTACCAGTTATGCTCCAAATAGGAGAACAATCATACCTTGGCTCTCAAGGCTTCCACACTGGACTTAAGCAGCCGATTGTTTGTGGAAGCATTACGATGCTGTTGAACAGCACCAGTGTACTGCTTGTACAAGGATGCATTTTCTCCTCTCAATTGTTCAACCTTACAAAATAATAATAGAAAAAAAAAAAAATGAAGCTCAGTAATCTTGAAGAATATCGATGAATTTTCTACTACAACAATCAGAAAATGTTGAAACACCATCATTAATTACTAGATGTTCAAAGTAATACTCTCAACTAAAAGTCATTGCACCTATGATTGTCAGGATGATGGGTGGTGAAAATGAAAATGGGGTTTGAAATGCTATAGAAGCTTTAGTTTTAGAAGTCTCCCTAGTTGGACAAAGCGGTTACCTGTAATTCAAGATCTGCCAAATGAGCTTGTTTTCTTTTCCTTGATCTTCTGGCAGACTCCCTGTTAGAAACCATCCTGGACGTGGAATCAAGAGAGAAAAATCAAAACAGACTACATCAAGATTATCTATCTATCAAGTATTTAAGCTCATGAGCATTAGTATACCTTCTAAGACGTTTTAAATCAATGGGTTCCGTACTCTGCTCACATGGACCAGCTTCTATTTCTACATCTTCATCATCTGATTGTTCACCTAAGGATCCACTAGTAGCTCCTTTTGGTTGATTATCATCTTTGCTCTTCGGTTTATTAGCAGAAACTGGACTTCCATATGACAAGTTTCCTTGTCCAAGTTTTAATGCACAAGATAAAGAGGGAAAAAAAAAAAACAACTAAGAAATTGCTCCAAAGAAGAACAAGAACCTTAGACATCTGAATGTTGACATACACAAATGCAAAAATAGATGCCTGTTTCATACCACAAATAGATGACTGTGTATCCATGGTAGCAGTAATGCAGGAGTACAGCTTGGGAGTTAGATTTTGCGACACTAACACATCAGCACCCCATCTTGAAAATTCATTTAGTTCATACTGTATTAACTATTAAGAAATAATAACATAATATTAGTAACTAAAAATGGCCATCATCATGGATAGAAGATTCAAAAAACAAAGCATAGAAAACATGAACAAATTAAAAGGAATAGCTCTTCGTTTTTTCAGATTTTCCCTTCACTTGATTTAAAGTTCGAATTTAAAATCTCCATTTTAGAATTTTAAACTTTTACTGGTTAAACTACTCTCTTGGGGTAAACAAATTAAATGATGAACCATGTTTTTTTCAACTCAGGCAATTATGATTGACTCCTACTTGGGTAATCCTAAAAACAAATGATTCTAATCTGGATTGATATATTTACTTCAAACTTTATGCTTTATGTAAATCTGGCTACTTAGGGATGATGGAGTCATGAAGGACGTGGACAACAAGCCAAGAGCAATTTGACAAAATATTCCACCTTAGCATCCCATTGGTAAGTCAGTACCTAATCGATAAATCATGATGACTTTTTGGTTGATTATTTCTCCATACCTCCTTCCTAACTACCAGTATCATATACGCATGAAAACCTTGGCCAAAACCAAGGATCTAATCGCGGTGGTGACACTTGTGAAAAGTTACACCAAAAATCCTCCTATGTTCAAGAAAAAAAATTATAATTCTATACATATTTCTCAGGGAGTAATTTAATTTATGAGAAAGGTGTTTTTTAGTAAATGTATATTTCGCACTGGCCCTTGAGGCCTAGTGGTATAGTCACGATGCATTCCCCCTCCTCCAGCAGGGTTCAAAAAACCTGCCTTGCAAAATTCGTTCAAAAAAAGTAAATGTATATTTCTTTTTGTGATTTAATATAAAAATTATTAAAACATAATTAATGAATAAAAGTATTTTTTAGTACTAATTATACTTTTTGTGTAGTTTAATATACAATTTGTTAAAATATTATTAATGAATAAACATTAAGGATAGTCTTACTTAAAAATATTTTCATGATTTTAATATCAAATTTTCTAAAAAAATAGAATTTATATTAAGAAAATATATTTTTACTTATTTATTTTAACAAAAATTTAATTACAATTCATACTGTGCCATATAAAAACATTATCTAAAATTGAGTATCCAGATTAAAATATT